AATTAATTTCCAGGTACGTAAAAGGAAAAAAAAACGGCAAATCTTATTTTTTATTTTATTTTTTATGAAGTTTTCCATTTTTTGCCGGTGAATTAATTTCTAGGTAGTATAAGGATATAAGGATAATAAAAAATAAGATTTGCCTGTTTTTTGCTTATACTTACCTAGAAAATAATAAATATATTTATATAATTTGGACTGTTGACAATTCTTTGATAGATCCTGGTGAAATAATTTTATCATCTCTGAATCGGAAATATCAATCAACATTTGCATGTTGTGTATTCCTTTTGACTACGCCCTATGTCCAAAAAAACTTACAAGTTCCTCATAAACGGTGCAAGTTTATGTCATCATAGAACAATAGACGATTTACCGTGTGTCTGAATATAAACAATCTACCCGCACTATTACAAATAGATTAATTGAGGGGATAACGTTGACTGAATCTGTACGTCGGAAATTTCAGATTTTAGAAACGTGCACGTCTAAAAATTTCAAGTCAAATGTGAAAGGGTACCAGTTGAAATGGTGCAGTAATGATTTATGCAACACAAATCAAGAAATAATTTACAACGAACGTCAGCATGTGGAAGTGAAATTTTAATTTATGGGTAAAATTTAATAGAAAACATTTAGAAATCTGTCAAAAATCCAACAGGCAATTTGAGTATGTAATTGAAGAAAGATAAATGAGATTTCGCCTGAATAGTTACCGACATAGTCACACACATGTTAGAGAAAAATCAAGTCTCTGGGCTACGGCTATGTTGATTTTTCGAAAATCTATTTACGTAATTTATGGACGAAAAAAAAAAGGTGAACGAATTCTAACTGTATCCGATAAAGGAAAATTACACGTTGGAAACCGTATATTATTTAGGACACATTAAAATTAGGAGGTAAGACCTTCCTTAAACATTGTCAAGGTCGCTACATTTGTAAACATGTCCATTTAATAAACATTCTTATTAAATATGGGTCACATTTTTAATAATTATCAAGTTGCTTTCACCAATAGACCACAAAAGTTATTAGTGCTCGGTGTACTGTACCTTAATAATACGGAAATTGTACAAAAAAAAGCTCGTGCAAGAAATCCTTGGTAGGTCGCTATAATTATCGTTTAATTAAAACTGCAAATAAATCTCATTAAATTGGATGTGTTCCTAATAATCTAGTGGGTGCAGTCTATTTGTATAATTTTTTTTGGACATTTGCTGTAGGTACCCAAAGGTATATAAATAATAATTAAAGGGGGCCATTGGAAGTAGATAAGCGGCTAGGCAACGAATAACAAAAAAATCATTTTGAATGAATTATGTTGTATGTCTACTGCCGGACGCTATTAACCGAGATATATGCAAAATAGACTGCTGCGAGACCGATGGGTAAGGAGCGCCTTACCATCGCCGCAATAAATTCTTTTTTTACCGACTTTTCGTGCCTCCGAAGATGCACAAATTTAAAATCACATTTTCGCGGCCGCACCCTATACTACAAATCGTGATATAAAATTTAGTTCGGTCCAACGATTTGCTGTTATTTATTTCGTCGGCGTATATCCTTTACATTCGATCTAATGAGCCTAACGTCTAAAATAATAAATATTTTGGTAAGAATCTGGTCATGTTACCCACATCCGTTCCCAATCGATTGCAGTTGATCAAAAAATTCATTTCGTATACATATCAAGTGGTGTCAGATTTAGTTAATTGCGAATATCTAGGATTACTCTTTCCGCTCGTTTATTATAAGCTGCGTTTGGCAGTAATGTAGTGTTTTTCTGTTAGCACGCAAGTGGAATACCACCAAGTTTCCATTAACCTTGTGAACTATTTTTTGCACATACATTTCTAGTACATGGGATTAAGAGTAAATTGAGGGTTGGATAATAAGGAACTAAATGGAATATAAGTTTAAGTTTGAGGTATCAAAATGGCTAGCTTCTTCAGTGGTTTCTGAATAATCATTTCTGCAACGTTAAATTACGGATAATTGAGTACAAAAAGTAGCGCAGACTAAGGTGCTTTATAATCCCAAGAACCCACTACATCCTCGAGTTAAAACATTCACTTTAATCTCTTATAATAGTGCATCGAAGTGTATTTTGGAGACTTTCAGTATTTTTTTAGAAGCATCGACTGTGCCCACCATCATAACTTTGTACATGACTATCTTATGTTATCCCCATCTAGTACATACATAAAGTAGTCCGGGAGTTTGTGATAAAAGACCGTTTCGTACGTACTGCCGGAGTGGATTCTTCCAATTATGTTCCGATAAGCCATGTGCAATGAAGACACCTGTCGTCCTCAGTTATTATATGAATGAATATGGGTGATGGGCGTAGCATAAGATCAAAAGATCGTTTTCATATAGGATCACAAAGGTCTATAATAATCTTCCTGCAAACCTTAAGTTGCTATCCCTTAAATCATTCAAGCTTAAGTTGCGCAAATTGCTGCTCGAACATTTATGGCTTATTCTTTGTTGGTACCTCTTCGACTTTTCCATTTCGGAGAATCGAAATGGAAATGTCTCCTCGGGACCTATCACTTTCCCTTTGCCGGTACCCATTTCCGATCCTCCGTTATGTACAGTCGCGGGCACTACGGAGATCACAGTATCTATTCAAATTGAGAAAATGAACGAGTTACCTCTTCAGCATCCAGGAAATGAGTTCGGTTGTTTTCCCAAGAGAATTATTGCATAAATTTTGAGATCTATGGGCCTAAATCATGGATGTATGACTTAAAATCCATGCCCGGATGGACTGACGGATTATTTCTAACTTGATTGTTAAACAAATTCACATACCTATTTGTTTATAATCAGTTATCGCCAGCGGCGGAGTAGTTAAAGACGGTGCGGGGCTGCCTACCAAAATTACGCCCTGACTGTATCTGGGATATAGTATCTCGCATACGGTATCCCCGTGTAAAAGACCTTTAAGTGCAAAAGGCTCCAACCCATCTCAAACCCTTCATATAAGTAGTGCGGGGGTTATAGGTTTCAACCTTGCATTTTGTGATAACTTTATGAAACTTTTAGAGGATGTTCTAGACACCCTAAGGTTCAATTTCAGCTATGCCGCCACCCCCGCAACCCCGAACGGCACTTGCTATAGCGGGTTTCTTAAGTGCAAGGTAGCATTTCAATACCCGCCCATAAAATGAGTCAAAAATGTATATCCAGGGTTTGTTTTGTACTTTCTTACATCTAGGAAGGTTGAAGGGAATTGTCAAATACCCAGGGAGAATTTATGTCGGGTATTTTACGTGGTTTACCTATTTTTAAGGCGCTTTTAACAGTGCGGGCAGTAAAATCGTGACGGAGACCTCTTTTGGCTGCTCTATTGAATATTATATAGTTAACTATGCTCTAAATTCTAAAGTATTTCTTGAGACTTTACAATGCTGAAAGGAAAGTTAACGATAACTACGGCACTAAAATTATTGAACCCTATCTTGAGAACACTCGCCTCCGCAGTCGCACAATTCGGTGCAGGGCATGTCGGACTTGGCACAGCTGCATCTTTGTGTGCAACCTTTCTTAAGAGAGGCGGTAAGTAGGCGAATAGATGAATTTACAATTGAATCCATATTCAACAAACAAACTTAATCTACATACATTCGCAGGACATGTATGGGGACATTGCCTCCTGGCGCAACAGCAACTTCCGGATCCATGTGATTGGGGTTGGAGAAACTCGAGTAAAGATCAAGAATGGGATCCCGTCTGGACTTTAAAACCTCCAGTTCCAGAAGCTTTTGTAATCTTAGTAAAATGTGGATGTAAGAAAGGTTGCACACAAAGATGCAACTTTGTCAAGTCCGATGTGACCTGCACCGAATTGTGCGACTGAGGAGGCGAGTGTTCTCAAGATAGGGCTCAATAATTTTAGTGCCGTAGATATTGTTAACTTTCCTTTCAGCATTGCAATGTCACAATAAATACATAGTATAATATTCAATAGAGCAGCCAAAAGAGGTCTCCGTCACGATTTTACTTGTCCGCACTAGAGAATGCAATACCGGGATTGCGGGATCCCGAAATACCGGGATCCCGCAGCATTTTTGCGAGATTAATCCCGCACATAAATGGAGCGGGATCCCGCGGGATTTGCGGAACTGAGGAATTTGTCGACCAAGGGGACGACTCTGTTTACTTTGTTACTGAAACTGATAATGGCGAATTATTTTTTAAATAATTGTTAAACTTTTTTCGTTAAAAATGTACTATGACTTTTGAGGCACTTTAGAAGACTTTTGTGCTTTACAGGTAAGGTTTTTTTGAGTTATAAGTTAGGCCGAAGGTACTTTTTTGTTAAATATTGTGATAATTAGCGATTTATTTTAATACAGAAGTTAACCGCACAGAATTGCTTATTTGCCAATTTATTTAAAGTTTTGCGAGATCCCGCAAATACCGGGATCCCGCGGGATTAACATCTAACAATCCCGCAAATACCGGGATTGAGATTTTGCTGCGGGATTGCATTCCCTAGTCCGCACTGTTAAAATCGCCTTAAAAATAGCAAACCACGTAAAATACCCTAAATAAATTCTCCCTGGGTATTTGACAATTCCCTTCAACCTTCCTAGATGTAAGAAAATACAAAACAAACCCTGGACATACATTTTTGACCCATTTTATGGGCGGGTATTGAAATGCTACCTTGCGCTTAAGAAACCCGCTATAGCAAGTGCCGTCAGGGGTTGCGGGGGTGGCGGCATAGCTGAAATTGAACCTTAGGGTGTCTAGAACATCCTCTGAAAGTTTCATAAAGTTATCACCTGCACTAAAGTACGCTGTGCCCCAAATTTTGTTCCCTACCGCTTTCACGACAATATTACAATTCTTAGTGGTGGATTCTCCTCAAAAAATGCGCTCCAAGGGAATTTTTTACACACTTGCAGGTGATTTGGTTCAGGAAGAAGGCAACTCACATTTTGGAAGAACAGGATTCTCAGAGTGACACACAATTCGCCCCCAATCAAACTTTCTCCCAAGTAACATCACCTAGAAACCCTGCACAACTCAGTTCTCTAGATCGGTGCACAAGGGAAGGATATTAGTATTAAATTTGCTAAGTACAATACATTCTAACAAAATGTCTACGACTACAGTTGCAAATTCCTCCAAAAATTAGCACGGTCGCTGTATAGGTTTTTAGACATTTTACCCCCTTGTGGGCCCTTAATAGCGTAGTACTCCAAATCATTGGTTTTAACTGTCTTCCACGCTCCATCGAAAGGTGTCGGGTTACTAAAAATAAGAGAAACGTTGTGAACGAATAATGATTGGTCTAAAGGTTTTACCCATAAATTGCGAAATTTGTCCACATATTAACCATTCGGTCGACTACGGCTCGATCCTTGGAGCTGTAATATTTTAACGAATTAGGGTCACCTGAAAGAAAATTCATATCATCTGAGTGGCATATACCTGAAAAACACGGTTATTGTTTTATGCAATGATAACGGAGATATGTTACCGTAGTCGCGAAGAGCATCACCAATAATAGCGCTGGTGCTGGGTAAAGTACTACTTTTGTACTCGAAATCATAGTTGTATAGAGATGTGTGGTTGTATTTTAAATACAATTCCAATACCTCGTTGGTTGGAGCGAGGAAAAGTGCGTCAGTGTACATCTAAATAGCACGTTTTAAGGCATTTTTTCTATACGTCAAACATACATTTGATATATTTTCTCGTCCTTTATCATTGCACGTAATTAATTGGTTTTTGAAGTAGAATCGTTTAATCTCCTGTGCAGTGTAGTTTTTGTCCATGCGGTGGTCTATTCCCATTTCGTTTGCGATTATTTCCTCGAAATGACGATTAAATTCCGCAATCGCCGTACGATCCTCACAGTGGTCTAGCAATAGCAACATCAATGATTTTCGCAGATATGTTGACACATACCCACAGTACAGACACACCCATCGTTAGCCGTGATTCCCACCAGAAATGGCACTTTGGCAAAGTCTCCACCTCTTATAATTTCCAAAGGAGGTTGCGTCAGGAATGCTCCCTTGACGTCTGTTTCAATTACTGGTTTAAATATTGGCATATGCTTGCTAGTGTTGGGTAACTTAATACAAATAATAGTAGGTGGTATGGGCTTTAACTTATAAACTTACTGGAAGTTTAACTTGTATAAGTACAATATCTCGAGAAGAAACTTTTCTTAGACAGTCCACCATACCGTGACTGTAGTCTGTTGAGCAGTTAAGAAGTTTAGCCAGCTTTTTAGAGAGGCATTGCCCTTCATCCCGTGTTTCAAAGGTCCACCTAGCATTGGCCAATCCGCTCTGGCTTATAACGCCGTTAATTAAATCTGAAATGTTCTACGTTCCATAATTTCGTTTCTGTGCATAGTCTTACCTTTACTCAAAGGTGAGAGCATATGATAATGCGCACTAGCACCACCAGCCGATTCACCAAATATTGTTATTTTGTTCGGATTACCTCCAAAATGGCGGATGTGCCTCTTTACCCATTGGATGGATAGATTTTGATCTTTCAAGCCATAATTACCTGGTGATGCTTCATCTCCCGTTGAGAGAAAACCCAACGCACCTTCAATCAGAACATTATCACTGTGGCAATGAATATTTTTATAAGGAATGTAGCAAAAAACACAGATGAAAGGTCCCTATCAAAATCAAGAAATCTCAAGGTGTATAGTATATCAATCGTTAGTCTTGGTGGCGGCCTGGCACCACAATACACAACAAAAGTCAGGGATAGTATTCATCCAAGATAGCGATAGTGTCCATACGCTCAAATAAAACAATAAGCGGCCACGTTTCAACAATAGAACAGAAGCACCATTACCGTCCACCAAACCGGCAACGATTTACTTCCGTCTGTTCTATTTAAAACAAATTCCCTTTCCGATCCACTGCGTCCTCGAATAAATTAAACACCTGTGTTTTCTTATCGGCGAAAAAAAAACATGCTTATTTTGAAACTACTTGGCCTATGCAGCGATAACGCTTTTATCGAAATGACTTGGTGTACATCAGTTTGATCAGTCTACCAGGTTTATGGCAAAGGAAAAAGTATTTCAATAACACTCCATACTGCATCTGGAGGTGTGAACGCAGTATGGTGAGGGTTTCGTTGTGAACTTTGACGCGAAAGGTTCGGTTGCCAACCTGTTGATCAATTTGTTTGTGTTGAAACTGTACAATGAAGGCATACCAAGCCCACCGAGTGCGTTCATATGTGGCACCGAAAGCTCGGACACAGAGGCAGCGATGCTGTAAAAAAGCTTCCGGTATCTTATGATCTTATGATCGAGTTGTTGAAGAGCACCACTTCCGTCTAAAGCGTCTGGACAATTAAGTACCGTATCTGGTATAGAAGCAGAAAGACTATTGAGAAACAAGCGAAATTCTAGTGGAAATATTTATATATGGTCAAATAAGTTACAAACCTAGCCTGTAATTGACGGTGACCAATACAATATCTGCCTCCAAAAGTGCGTGTGGTTTAAGCAGGGTTCCGGAACCAAAACTAAAGCTCCCACCGTGAAAGAATATCATTACTGGTATATAATTGGTGTCGTTCCTTTCTACCTGTAAAATATTCTACAATTATCATTACTATTGGAAAGTAAGTGGCGTTCAATAATCTTCGTTGCATTTTTTGTGCACATGCGTGCTTTTTGCTGATTTTTCACGAGAAAGAGAAACCAAAGGTTAATACTACGATAAAAATTAATGAACGTTAGTTAACAGTATACCTACCTTTGGTGTATAGACGTTCAAGTATAAGCAATCTTCTTCACCGATAGGGGGAGAATTTTTGTATGGTAACATTTGCGGGCAGATAGGCGGCTCGAGCTTCGCGTTCAGGATCCCTTTCCATGGAAGTACCGGTCGAGGTACCTTTTTACGAAATTCTTAAATCAATGTTACAGGCTACTTGGGTACTTACTGCGAATCTCAACTGATTTAAGGGTGGTTCGGCGTATGGAATTTTTGTGAACGAGGCGAATTTACGCGTTAGCCCATTTACGTATTGTCCCTCTAGCACTCCTGTGTCAATTTTAACTTTGGGATGCATTGCAACTACTACAGCAGTTGTGTACACCCAAAAGTACAACCCGTAATTTATCATATTGTCGTGCCGAAGACTAATGAAATTTATGTTAGGCGTAAGTGTTCTTATCACGAAAACACCGCTAATTCTAAAAGACGCGGATTTATTAGTGTCATCAGGATTAAGGTGACCACGAATTTTTAACTAATTAACACAATAATTAGAGCCCGGACGTTTTCACAGTAGGAAGTTGATTAGAAATGGCTTTTTATAATTCAAACCACTTAATTGATCGAAAAACGACAGCAATCAGCAGTTGTGGTAACGGTTTTTATTTTACACATTTCCACACCAAATTTTAAAGTTTACAATTTGGTGTCTGTCAAAGTACCGCTCTACTACTCTGAAACTCGATTTGTGTAACGTTAAACTCCTTTTTCTAAGAAAATCAAGTGGGATGATTGTGATTAGGTTTTTAAGGCACGAGTTTTAAACTTGGGATGTGCGACAACGATTTTTTATAAAAACGTCCAAGATGAAATCTTTTTCATAAAATTATATATTCTACTTTAAAACGAACAGAACAACTCCATTAAGTTAAATTTCGAGTGGTTCCTAACAATTCCTGCAGTTGATTTCCGGTTTCCGGTTTCACGAGAATATTAAAACATTTCGCTCTCACAATGTTTCCTCTCCCGAACATACACTCTAGAATTAGTATACCCGCTATTAAAAAATTAGTACCAAAACGATTCACCCGCAGAGAATTTCGCCACAGGAAAATTCTTCTGCGTTTTTCCGCTCTAAAGAAAACTTATTTCTTTATTTTCCCCATTATAGTATACCCACCCGTAACTTTTTCCCAAGGAAAATCTGTACTTAAACAGGCAATGAGATTAAGAAAACTATTGTTTGGAATAGGTGCCATGTATTCAATTCAAAAGTTTTAAATTTTTGTGATACCTACACATGGGAAAATGTACGCCAAGGAACTCGCCCCATGCGTCCACAAAAATTTTCGCTGCCCACCGAGCAAAATTTTCGTCAAAGAAAGCTTACACCCCAGCCCCACTCTAAATATTAGTATTATTAAATTGGCTAAGTACAATTCATTCTAACATAAATGTTTACAAATATACTTGCAAATGCCTCCAAAAATCAGCACGCTTGCTGTGTAGCCTTTTAGACATTTTGCCTCCTTGTGGACCCTCAATGGCGTAGTACTCCAAATCATTGGTTTTTACTGTCTTCCACGCTCCATCGAACGGGGTCGGATTCCTGAAGATACGAGTTTTGAACGAGTAAGGCAGGAATAACGATTTTACCCATAAATTGCGAAATTTGTCCACATATTTACCATTCGAACGACCATGGCTCGATCATTGGAGCTGTAATGTTTTAACGAATTGGGATCGCATGAAAAATAATTCATATCATCAGAGTGGCATACACCTGAAAAACATGGTCATTCTTTGATGCAATAATAATGGACAAATCTTACCATAGTCGTGAACAGCGTCACCAATAACAGCGCTAGTACTGGTTAAGAGAGTACTTTTGTACTCGAAGTCATAGTTGTATAGAGATGTGTGGTTGTATTTTAAATACAATTCCAATACCTCGTTGGTTGGAGCGAGGAAAAGTGCGTCAGTGTACATCTAAATAGCACGTTTTAAAGGATTTTTTCTGTACGTCAAACATACATTTGATATATTGACTCGTCCTTTATCATTGCACGTAATCACTTGGTCTTTGAAGTAGAATCGTTTAAGCTCCTTTGTAATGTACTTTTTGTCCATGCGGTGGTCTATTCCGATTTCGTTTGAGATTATTTCGTCGAAATTATAATTAAATTCCGTAATAGCGGTACTATCCTTACAATGGTCTAGCAATAGCAACATAATATTTCAATGATTCTGCCAGATATAGGTCATAGACATACCGACAGTACATATACAGCCGTCGTTAGCTGTGATTCCAGCCATAAATGGCACTTTGGCAAAGTTTCCACTTCTTATAATATCCAGAGGATGTTGCGTCAGGAATGCTCCCCTGACGTCTGGTTCAATGACCGGCTTAAATATTGGTAAGCTCTTTGTAATATTGGGTTTCTTAATATAAATAATAGTAGGTGGTATAAACTTTAATTTAAAAACTTACTGAGAGCTTAGATTGTGTAAGTAAAATATCCCCAGAAGAAACTTGTCTTAGGCACTCAACCATAACGTGACTGTAGTCTGTTGAGCAATTAAGAAGTTTTCCCAAATTCTTAGAGAGGTATTTCCCTTTGTCCCTTGTGTCAAACATCCATTTAGCGTTGCCTAATCCGCTCTGGCATATAACGCCGTTAATTAAATCTAAAATGTTCTAGATAATATACAATCTTTGTGGATAGTTCTACCTTTACTCAGAGATGAGAGCATATGATAATGCGTACTAGCACCACCGACTGATTGACCAAATATTGTTATTTTACTCGGATTTCCTCCAAAATGGTGAATGTGCCTCTTTACCCATTGGATGGATAGATTTTGATCTTTCAAGCCATAATTACCCGGTGATGCTTCATCTCCTGTTGAGAGAAAACCCAACGCACCTTCAAACAGAACGTATGATCACTGTGATGATGATTATTCTGAGCTGCAATGTAGCAAGAGACGCAGATGGAACAGAATATAGCCTGTAAATTACCACCGCGAAAAGATCCCAAGGCCATCATAGTATAGAGAACGTTAGTATTAGTGGGGGCGCACAAATGTACAACAAAAGCCAGGGGTGGTATACATATAAGATGACGACAGTATGTTCTTCGATGAAAATTGTGTGAAATTGTGATGTGACAATGTGACATTGCGAAGACGTTCCCTGGGAAGCCAGTGAATAGTTTTTATTTGAATGAGTCGAGTATACTCCCTAGTTAGAGTGTAACTTACGAGGTAGATGTGTTAATATTGGCTCGCCATTGCGAGAAAATAGGACAGTAATCCTTAAGACAAAGATTTCGTAGCAGGCATGGACAGACGGGCGGACAAAGTGACCACAATAGCGATTTTCTTATATTTTTTTTAGGAATAGAATTGCTACGGGGGTTCCTTCTGGACTTGAAAATTACCATCGGTTCCGCCCGGCAAGGCAAACCGTCTTCTTCTCAAGCCGCTCAATCGATAAAAATAAATGCTCCGGCTAACTCAAATCGGTGGGCTTTTAACTCTTTTGAAACTGCGTAACAAACCTTAACCTGCCGCCTACCAGTCTCCTGCCTCAACTCCTACTCCTCTCTTTCCTTCCCCTCGTTCTTCGTTAAAGACATAGGCGCATTGAAACCAAATAGATAATATATTTAAAAGAGATACAAACAAATTACAGGGATCTAGCAGTTCTTCTCTCCTCCTTGTAAAAACAATAGCTTAACAATGACAACTAAACTAAATAAAAAATCCTACCAGGTGAGACTAATTTACTCAAGGGGTGGCCATCCTCTACAGTTTGAAAATTTCAACAACAGGTAATCGTTTTTTACTGGGACTTATTTAAATAAACACAACAATTTATCCTACTCTTTGGTAATCGTTCATTGGACTTTCATAAACAATCAAATCAAAATTTTTTACTATAGCTTCATTACCAAAAAGTGGAATTTTACAGAACGTTACAAATTTAATTAGACTAACCTTTACAACATTTGTACAGCCGATCTTGTGAACTGCTCTTTCCTCTGGTACAGGGTGGATGTGATGAAACCTGACACTTAGGTCTCTGTGACTTCCTAGGGGGTGGCTTGAAGTTAACACACGGAAACAAAATCCACGGTGCCTATCCTTCCTCGGAACGAAAGCAAAGTTTAGTGTTTGAACTGAAGCTTAGTCCAGGAAATCCTTCGCATGGCGAGTGGGAGACGGTTAGTTGCCAAAGTTTCTACACAGCAGGTGTATTTAATTTAAACAGTGACCCCTACTATTTTCCTTCCACCGGCTCTTAGAGTTTATTGACTTTGATTCGCCTGTGGGAGACGGATTTTTGAGTTAGCGGCACGGCAGAACACAAATTTTTATGATCACTATCCGACGGTAAACCGCGATTTGTTCTTGGGTGGTTCGACGTATTATTTCACCAGCTCTTCTTGGGGCAAATATCTCTCCAAAACGCAGCGCTCCTTCGACAAATGACCGTACGGCACTAGTAGAAAATTCCACCTGGGGCGGATCCCGAATATCGGCGCCTTGATGACTAGGGCAGCACTTTGAATTATATATCCTCGAGAAATCACAACGTATCATAACGCGATTCACTGCATCCAAAGTAAACTGGGGTGAAGCTCAAAAGGTTCGCCTAAATATCACCTGATCGGAACCTGGGTCTTCGTCTCCAAAAAATCAACGCGAAAAGAAAATAACACTTCGAAGCGGGTGCAAAAAGCACGCAACTGCGAGCAACCGAAATAAACCGGTGGCTCAAACAGCTAGGTACCCCCAAAAAACGATCACTCAAGGTACGTGTTGACCCCTTGACGTACTAACCGCGAGTCTCTCCAAAACGATCACTCAAGGTACGTGTTGACCCCTTGACGGACTAACCGCGAGTCTCTCCAAAAACGATCCCCTTCTTCAGAATTGAAATGAGAAAACCACACCCAAATTACCATAAAACATAAATGGCTCCCGCTAGAAATTCTCCCATTGGTTTAGATAAAGAAGACTTAACTCACTCTAACTTCGTCGTCAACCTCCAGGAACTGCTGAATAAGCTGATCTCACGGTTTTCTGCTGACGAAACGAAAACCCCTTATCTCTTGATGGCTCGGTGCTATATCCGCTCCTATTCTTGGTCTAGACGGCGCCTTGGGTGATAAACGAACGACAAAAACTCGCATTACTCATGATGACGTCAATCAACTTTGCACTCTTCCCACGACGAAATTAAATCTGAGCGAAATTAAATCTATCGGACCATAGTCTTGAGCGAACCGAAATGCCCAAACACAAAATTTCTAACCGGAACAAATAATGAAATATACAGGGCGACCTGCACTATCATGACAAGAAATTTCGAATTTTTTAATGAAATTTGGCGCGAAATAAAACCACTCGTTACAGAATTTTTAAAATTGCTATCAGAACTGTGTAGCAGGAAATGTTGTCCTAAATATTAGGTACAACAATGCAGTAGAAAATGCCAAATTAAATTACAACAAATACGTAATAACGCGATCTAGAAATATCGCCAAAACATCGTGGGAGCTAGACAATAAAAACTCCTAACCAAACCTAAACAAAAGGAAACGTTAATTGAAGGGATTGCATGAATAAGATGAAATCCAGTAGCTCCAGATATAGTGCAGGGGTTAAGAGCCAAAATAGGCCTGTAGAATCCATAATTTCAAACAGTTCCAAGATTGGGCTACTAGTTCAAAAGTTACAGCCCTTTGAATTTTCTTTCGAAATTGATTTCTAGTAGGGAATGCAATCCCGCAGCAAAATCTCAATCCCGGTATTTGCGGGATTGTTAGCCGTTAATCCCGCGGGATCCCGGAATTTGCGGGATCTCGCAAAACTTTAAATAAATTGGCAAATAAGCAATTCTGTGCGGTTAACTTCTGTATTAAAATAAATCGCTAATTATCACAATATTTAACAAAAAAGTACATTCGGTCTAACTTAGAACTCAAAAAAACCTTACCTGTAAAGCACAAAAGTCTTCTAAAGTACCTCAAAGTACATTTTTAACGAAAAAAGTTTAACAATTATTTAAAAAATAATTCGCCGTTATCAGTTTCAGTAACAAAGTAAACATAGTCGCCCCTTGGTCGACAAATTCCTCAGTCCCGCAAATCCCGCGGGATCCCACTCCATTTATAAGCGGGATTAATCTCGCAAAAATGCTGCGGGATCCCGGTATTTCGGGATCCCGCAATCCCGGTATTGCATTCTCTAGTGCGGACAGTAAAATCGTGACGGAGACCTCTTTTGGCTGCTCTATTGAATATTATATAGTTAACTATGCTCTAAAGTATTTATTGAGACTTTACAATGCTGAAAGGAAAGTAAACGATAACTACGGCACTAAAATTATTGAGCCCTATCTAGAGAACACTCGCCTCCGCGGTCGCGCAATTCGGTGCAGGTCACATCGGACTTGACAAAACGCATCTTTGTGTGCAACCTTTCTTACATCCGCATTTTACTAAGATTACAAAAGCTTCTAGAACTGGAGGTTTTAAAGTCCAGACAGGCACCCATTCTTGATCTTCACTCGAGTTTCTCCAACCCCAATTACATAGATCCGGAAGTTGCTGTTGCGCCAGGAGGCAATGTCCCCATACATGTCCTGCGAATGTATGTAGATTAAGTTTGTTTGTTGAATATGGATTCAATTGTAAATTCATCTATTCGCCTACTTACCGCCTCTCTTAAGAAAGGTTGCACACAAAGATGCAGCTGTACCAAGTCCCACATGCCCTGCACAGAATTGTGCGACTGCGGAGGCGAGTGTTCTCAAAATAGGGTTCAATAATTTTAGTGCCGTAGTTATCGTTAACTTTCCTTTCAGCATTGTAAAGTTATACTTTAGAGTTTAGAGCATAGTTAACTATATAATACCTATTCAATAGAGCAGCCAAAAGAGGTCTCCGTCACGATTTTACTGCCCGCACTGTTAAAAGCGCCTTAAAAATAGGTAAACCGCGTAAAATACCCTACATAAATTCTCCCTGGGTATTTGACAATTCCCTTCAACCTTCCTAGATGTAAGAAAGCACAAAACAAACCCCGGATATATATTTTTGACTCATGTTATGGGCAGGTATTGAAATACTACCTTGCACTTAAGAAATCCGCTCTAGCAAGTGCCGTCCGGGGTTGCGGGGGTGGCGGCATAGCTGAAATTGAACCTTAGGGTGTCTAGAACATCCTCTGAAAGTTTCATAAAGTTATCACAAAATGCATGGTTGAAACCTATAACCCCCGCACTAATATTATCATTGCATGAATACGAATGTTACAAAACAAGGTGAAAGACATTATTAATTCAACATCATGGTGTTGAAGTCTACACATTCGATTCCAAGAAGATGTAGATTGTGCGTGGCTGCGGTGCGGATTGTGAGAAGATGGTATTTAACTGGAGTTCCATTAAATTAATTTAGCTAACACGCGAAATTAGATTACTCACTATAGTCGCATATCGTAATAGAACACCTCTTGTTTGAAAAAAATTAGGGTTGGGCTATTACTCGTAAATTTTTTTTAAAGTAAAAGGAACTCCTAGTGGCAAACATTTAGACATGGTAAAATAAGTTACAAACCTAGCCTGTAATTAACGGTGACCAATACAATATCCGCCTCCAAAAATGCGTGTGGTTTAAGCAGGGTTCCGAAACCAAAATTAAAGCTCCCACCGTGAAAGAATATCATTACTGGTATATTATTGGTGTCGTTCCTTTCTACCTGTAAAATATTTTTCAAATATTGTTACTTGGAAAGTAAGTGGCGTTCAATAATCTTTCTGATGGTCAGATCGCCTGTGCTAATGATTCGCTTTTTAACATACTGAGCATTTTTGTGTGCAAGTACGTGCTTTTGAGTTGCTTTCCGTGAGAAAGAGAAACCACAGCTAAATAAAATTATTGAACGTCAGTTAACAGTATATACTTTGGGTGTATAGACGTTTAAGTATAGGCAATCTTCACCCATAGGGAGAGAATGCTTGTATGGTAACATTTGCGGGCACATAGGCGGTTCGAGTTTCGCATTCAGGATCCCTTTCCATGGAAGTGCGGGTCGAGGCGACTTTTTACGAAATTCTACAATCAATATTACAAACTACCTGGGTAGGTACTTACTGCAAATCTCAATTGATTTAAGGGTGGCTCGGCGTATGGAATTTTTGTGAATGAGGAAAATGTACGTGTTATCCCATTTATGTATTTTCCCTCTAATACCCCTGTGTCAATTTTAACTTTGGGATTCATTGCAACTACTACAGCAGTTAGGTACACCCAAAAATATAACTCGTAATTTATCATATTGTAGCTTCGAGACAAATTGCACAAACACTAATGAAAATTATGTTAGGAGTAAGTGTCACGAAAACAGGATTAACGTGGCTCCGAATTTCTAACGAATTAACACAATTATTATAGTCCGGAAGTATTCACGTTATAGGATGTTGATTAAAAATTGATTTTATAATTTAAATCTATTAATCGATCTGAAAGTGGCCGTTGTGGTTACGGTAACGAGCTTTGTACGAAAAAATTTGTTTTGCCCGAACATTTTTTTAACTTGGGGCCTTCGATTTTTTACAAAAACGTCTAATACGAAATGAAATCTTATTCATTACATAATAATTTCCAGGGAAAAATATGGTAATTATTGCTTGAAGACAATTGTAGGCAGATTTTGCCTTACATTCTATTCTAATACGAACAGGACAATACCACTAGGTAAGATTTCGAGTGGTTCGTAACAATTTCTGCAGCTGATTTCAGATGAATGCAAAATAGTTACTCTTACTGTTGTAAATAAAATATAGTAGTCGGTTTAGCGGGTGGGTTCGAATCCCATCACTTGCCAGTTATTAGTGCTACAGAACATGCTACTGACTACTATACTTAGGAGAGCATATAAATCTGGCGGTCTTGGCATAGTCTTAAAACGACTATCGTTAGGTCACAAAGACGGCTGGTGATGCGATCTTAAAATGTCTGTAACCCGCGAGTGCCTCCCATACGAAAAATAAATAGATACTAAAGCTATAGTAACAAGTTACAAGGTAATACTGTATTGAATCAAATCTATAGCGCTATATGATGTAGATAGTTGACTCATATAAAAAAAAACCTACTTTTTTCTAAAAACTGAAATATTCGTTTCTGGGTATTCATTCCTGGTATACTCAATTCTAGATCACTCTTCTGCTTTCACAAAAAGATTGTAATTTGTAATGGTGGGTTTACTTTCAAAAGTTTGGCTGAAAGAAAACTGGCCTTTCTCTAAAGGGTTTGCCCTACACTTTTCGCTCCTTGGCGCATTTGCTCCTACACAATTCGTCACTGATATAGCTGTCCCTGGAGAATTTGCAGCCTAAAGGTACGTACCCGCCAGGAAGAATTATCTCAAATTTTTTCTCCAAAGAAAAATGCACATAGAAAAAAATCTTTTGATCGCAAAGGAGGAAATTCGCGTTTGAAATTCTCTTGCATTTATAAGATTTATTCGGAAATGTGCGCCTAGAAACTTTTCCCCCGGGATTTTCTTCTCCGCCGGCCTACTTGCTTATCGAAACGTTTCTTCGGGCAATATTTGCGTACAAAATTGCTTCATTACACCGAGAACCCTTGGAATAAGTGCTATGTACTCAGCTCGTAAGTTCTCCTTTGGTATTCGCAACAAAAGTTGAATTCGCAGTTATGGATTCGCTTTTAAAAGTTCGCCAAGAGCTTATTTATCACTCCCGCATTATTTCGCCCCCGAATGTTTTCTGTCTCACATTTTTCGCCCCTGGATAATTTATCACCGCCGTATACACGTCCCTTCAAAACTTTCTCGCGGAAAATTCGCTCCCGGAATATTTGCCTCTGGAAGATTCGCCACTGGAAGTCTCTCTTCAGTATATTCCCTTACTAGACCTTTCCTCCTCCGTTGCAATTCGGCGGGGATTTGTTACATTGGAAAATGTATGGTGCTATGCACTCCATTCCAAACTTTACTTAAAAGTTGTTTTAACGATTTTTACTGAATCGGATAGATGTAAATTTTCTCCATTGAATGTACCTCTCCAGAAGGTGCCCTTAAAAAAGTATAATTAAAGGAAACATTCTTAAGTTGTAACCTTTCCCGTCGCCTCTAAATTCCGCCTGCAACTAAGCCGGATATCTATTCGTACGGTTTACGTGAACAGCCTGTATAGTGCATATGTAACCGGCCCAAATATGTACGCAGAAATAAATCGATCTCATGCGTGCGTCGAACATTTTCCCCCAGAATACTCGCCCCCGCCGGACGACTTGTTCAGTAAGAAGTTTCTCCAAACAGAACTTAGCTCCACCCCATTTCAAGCCCTTGAAATAAGTATCATGTGTTCGCTTCCGGTTTCGCGAGAATATTAAAATTCGTAGTGGTTGATTCGTTTTAACGAATTTGGATAAATGAGACGTCCAAATAAATTACCTCTCCTAACATTTCGCTCTCATAATGTTTCCTCCCCGGAACATGCACCCTAGAATAGTATACCCGCTACTGAAAAATTAGTACCCTAACGATTCACCCGCTGAGGATTTCGCCACTGGAAAATTCTTCTCCGTATTTTCGCTCCAAGCAAAATACATCTCTTTCTTTTCCTCACTAGTATACCCACCCGTAACTTTTTTCCAAAAAATGTACGCCAAGGAACTCGCCCCATGCGTTACACAAAAATATTCGCTGCCCACCAAGCAAAATTTTCGTCCAAAAAAGCTATACCCCAGCCCCACTCTAAATATTAGTATTAAATTGGATAAGTACAATTCATTATAACATAAATGTTTACAAATACCGTTGCAAATGTCTCCAAAAATCAGCACGCTTGCTGTGTAGCCTTTTAGACATTTTGCCCCCTTGTGGACCCTCAATGGCGTAGTACTCCAAATCATTGGTTTTTACTGTCTTCCACGCTTCATCGAACGGTGTCGGATTCCTGAAGTTACGAGATCTGTTTTGGACGAGTAAGGTAGATATAACGATATTACCCATAAATTGCGAAATTTGTCCACATATTTACCATTCGATCGACCATGGCTCGATCATTGGGGCTGTAATGCTTTAACGAATTGGGATCACATGAAAAATAATTCATATCATCAGAGTGGCATACACCTGAAAAACATGGTCATCCTTTTATGCAATAATGGACAAATGTTACCGTAATCGTGAAGAGTATCACCAATAATAGCGCTACTGCTGGGTAACGTAGTACTTTTGTACTCGAAATCATAGTTGTATAGAGATGTGTGGTTATATTTTAAGTACAATTCCAATACCTCGTTAATTGGAGCGAGGAAAAGTGCGTCAGTGTACATCTAAAAGGAATATCACCTGAAAAGCGCGTTCAAAAAGCAGTATTTTTTGTACACGCCGTCAAACGGTTTTTACATTTAATATATCGGCTCGTCCTTTATCATTGCAAGTTATCATTTGGTGTTTGAAGTAGAATCGTTTAATCTCCCTTGTAATGTCTTTTTTGTCCATGCGGTGGTCTATTCCGATTTCTTTTGAGATTATCTCGTCGAAATGACGATGAAATTCCGTAATCACCATACGATCCCCACAATGGTCTATCAATAGCGATATACTTGCAACAGTTTTACTAGATATGTTAGACATACCAGAAATACACATGCAACCGTCGTTTGCTGTGATTCCAAGCATAAATGGCACTTTGGCAAAGTTTCCCTTTCTTATAATATCCAGAGGATGTTGCGTCAGGAATGCTCCCGTGACGTCTGGCTCAATGACCGGCTTAAATATTGGTATGCTCTTTGCGATATTGGGTAACTTAATAAATAATAGGATAAGTAGGTGGTAGAGACTTGAACTTATAAACTTACTGGAAGCTTAAGTTGTGTAAGTACAATTTCCCGAGCAGAAACATTTCTTAGACACTCTACCATACCGTGACTGTAGTCTGTTGAGCAATTAAGAAGTTTCGCCAACTTTTTAGCGAGATATTTCCCTTCGTCCCTAGGTTCAAACATCCATTTAGCGTTGCCTAACCCGCTCTGGCATATAACGCCGTTAATTAAATCTAAAATGTACATACATTTGATAATATACAATTTCTGCGGATAGTCTTACCTTTACTCAAAGGTGAGAGCATATGATAATGGGCACTAGCACCACCGACCGACTGTCCAAATATTGTTATTTTGTTCGGATTTCCTCCAAAATGGTGGATATGTCTCTTTACCCATTGGATTGACAAATTTTGATCTTTCAATCCGTAATTACCCGGCGACGCTTCATCGCCCGTTGACAGAAAACCGAACGCACCTTCAATAAGAACTTACCATCACTGTGACAATGATTATTCTTAGAAACAATGTAGTAAAAACACAGATGGAAGGGAATAACTTTTACTTTATCAAAGTAAAGAGATCGCAAGGCCCCTACATCCCTCTTAAGGCCTTTTAAGACCTTTTAAGGGACATTGGTGTCTTGCAATTTTCTTGGCTTAAGTGCGAAAGCGTAAATATATACAAGGTAAACATATAGAAGCTTAATCAATTTTAACTATGAAGCATTTGATAAGGATCTCAAATCTCTTCCATGTTTGCTCAATATACTGCCCTCTAGCAACAAGAAAATGTAATTGCTCCCATTGTAAAGGAATGATAGCAAATTGGGGAAGAGGGTTGGGCTATTAGATATTTTTTATGTTGTGTACGTCCAGCAACAACCAGATTGAGAAGCAAGCGATATCCTAATGGCAGTTTGTTAGTGAGAAATGTAAGTCTAACAATACGAGGTTACAAACCTAGCCTGTAATTGACAGTGACCAAAACAATATTCGCCTCTAAAAATGCGTATGGTTTAAGCATGGTTGCCGCACCCAAACGAAAGCTTCCACCGTGAAAGAATATCATTACTGGTATACCATTGGTGTCGTTTCCTTCTACCTGAAAAATATTCCCCAAATCTTATGATTGTTGCGGAAGTTCAATAATTGTTCTGATTAGATCTTCGGCTTTTTGCTACATACTGAGCATGAAACAAATCAGAATCGGCTTTTCTCAAAACATCGAGTTTTGGCTGCACGTGCCTGTGTTTTGGTGACTTTACACGAGAGAGAGAGAACCACAGTCATACTGCAAAAACAATTTATTGAATGGCAGTTATATACCTTTGGTGTAAAGACGTTCAAGTATAGACAATCTTCTTCACCTCTCGGGAAAGAATTTTCGTATGGTAACATTTGCGGGCATACAGGCGGTTCGAGCTTCGCGTTCAGGATCCCTTTCCATGGACGTGCGGGTCGAGGTGCCTTTTTACGAAATTCTTAAATCAATATCACAAGCTACCTCGGTACTTACTGCGAATCTCAACTGATTCAAGGGTGGCTCGGCGTATGGAATTTTTGTGAACGAGGAAAAAGTTCGCGTTAACCCATTTACGTATTTTCCCTCTAGGACCCCTGAATCAATTCCAACTTTGGGATACGCTGCAAATACTACAACAGGTATGTACACCCAAAAGTATAACCAGTAATGTATCATAGTATCGTTCCAAGACAAGTTGCGCAAATACTAATGAAAATTATGTAAGGAGTAAACTGGTCTTATCACGAAAACATCACTAATTCTAAAAGCCACAGATTATTATTTTCATCACGATTAAACGCAACCATTAGAGCCCTGAAGTTTTCACATTAGGAAATTGATAAAAATGGGTTTCTAAAATTCAAACCAATTAAATTGTCGAAAATCGGTTGCGATCAGTAGTTCTGATTGCGGTAATATTAAGCATTTTACTTATCATTTACACGTATTCATTAAATTTTAACGTTTCCAACATAAAGTACCGTTCTACTACTCTACTCATTTTGAGAAACGCTAAGCTTCTTCTAAGAAATCAAATAGGGTCATACAGTTAGTTTTTAATGCACGAGTTTTGATCGAACTTTTTTTGAACTTGGGATGGGCCCCAATAATTTTTATGAATACGACCTAAGAATACATAAAATGTTTTGAGGTAATACTGTATTAAAGCAATTTTGGTGTGAGTGTGAGTGTGATGTTAGCCCCAAGTTATTATGCCAAAGGGAAGCTTTAAAATCTTTAAAGTACGTTTGTCAAAAAACCACCCTACAGTCACCCAAGGCTTATAAGCATTAAGTACCTGGCCGATATCAATCAATGAAAAAAAGAACAAAAAAAAAGAGTGAAACATAGAAAGTGATAGGTCTGAAAATTCACAAAGGATTGAAATTTAAAAAAAATCATTTGGATGGGTTTCAAATATTCAAAAATTCTAAAAGAAAAGTTCGAAGAAGATTATATTCATCTAAGATTCCGTGGGCCGAAATTTTAAATTTGAAATGATAATAAAACGCAATTGAATTCATTTAAGAGAAGGGCAAGTGGTATGATGTCACCTACTCGCAATTTGGCGGATAGAGTGTGCAGTTTTTGTGGTCTTAAATAGTTTTTCATTGTACATTGCTTTTCCCTGGCGTTGTAAATCTATTCAACACATTTTATAGATTGAAAAAGAGTAGGAGAGAAGAATAACTCTTAATTTATTGGCGAAACCCTAGGAATAAATTTAATTCTCATGTAATAGGATAGGAAACAGGAATACCAAAAAATCAGAACAAATAAAAAATAAAAAGTCAAAATCATACAAAAACCGCAAAAGAGAATGAAAGGAGTGAATGGAAAAGCCTCACCCCATAGGTGTATATTTTCACCGGCTTTTCTGAAAGCAGCAATTATTTTGAGTGACTAGAAATTGATCTTCAAGTAGCTGCTCTCCCAGTACTCATTTCATTACCCCAAAACCTAATTTTTTCGTATCCAAAAACAGAAAAGGTTTTTAACTGATCTAGTTGAGGTGCTTCGAGCAAGATCCTTATCCGTTCTCTTTAACTTTTTATAAATTTCATGAGCGTACCGCGGAGGTTTAGCAGCTTCACGTACCCAAGCAAACAACCAAACACAAATTCGGAATAGTCCTTACCTTCAGGCAGAAGGTGATGACTCAAATTAAATTAGCTAGGCACCCGTTACACCGAATGATGTGGAAAAAGGTCAATCTCCCGGCATCCGTATAATCTCTAATCTGTTTTCTGCAAACCAGCAAAATGGATGTCTCAATTCCTAAATGATTTCATATTAGCAACAACTTATAAGTGCCAACCACAATTACAAAATCGTCAACTTCTATAAGAAGGTCTCGAATCGGACAACTCCGCAGACAGCAAATCAATATAATCATACTACGGGCAAAACTCCTACGTTACCAAAATCCCTACTACACTTTAAGGTCGCATCCAGCCACTACACCAACTTTAAAACCAGTTAATATTGTATTTTTGATTTTAAAAGTAAAATACATTCTAACAAAATCTTTTTGATTATACTTGCAAATGCCTCCAAAAATCAGCACGGTTTCCGTGTAGCCTTTTAGACATTTTACCCCCTTGTGGGCCCTTAATAGCGTAGTACTCCAGATCTTTGGTTTTTACTGTTTTCCATTCTCCATCGAGTGGTGTCGGGTTACTGAAAGTATGAGATCCGTTGTGAACAAATAATGATTGCGCTAACGCTTTTACCCATAAATTGCGAAATTTGTCCACATATTTACCATTCGCTCGACCACGGCTCTATCCTTGGGGCTGTAATGTTTTAACGAATTGGGATCACATGAAAAATAATTCATGTCATCTGAGTGGCATACACCTAAAAACCATTGTAATCCCTTTATGCAATAACAACGGTGAAATGCTACCGTAGTCGTGAAGAGGATCACCCATAGCAGCGCTAGTGCTGGGTAACGTAGTACTTTTGTATTCGAAATTATAGTGGTATAGAGATGTGAGGTTGTATTTTAAATACAATTCTAAAACCTCGTTGATTGGATCGAGGAAAAGTGCGTCTGTGTACATCTAAAAGGTATATCATATGAATAGTAGGTACATTCTAACATACTTTTTGTGTACGCCAAACGGCTTTTCTTACATTTGAAATATTGGTTCGTCCTTTATCATCGCACGTTAACGTTTGGTTTTTAAAGTAGAATCGTTTAACCTCCCTTGTAATGTACTTTTTGTCTATGCGGTAATCTATTCCGATTTCTTGTGAGATTATTTCGTCGAAATGACGATTAAATTTCGTAATCGCCGTACGATCCTGGCAATGGTCTAGCAATAGCAACATATTTGCATCAATTTTACCAAATATGTAAGACATACCGACAGTACACATACAACCCTCGTTAGCTGTGATTCCAACCATAAATGGCACGTTGGTAAAGTTTCCACTTTTTATAATATCCAGAGAAGGTTGTGTCAGGAATGCTCCCCTGACTTCTGGTTCAATGACTGGCCTAAACGTTGGTATGCTCTTTGAAATATTTGGTACCTTAATATAAATAATAGTAGGTGGTGATAACACTGACTTATAAACTTACTGAGAGCTTAAGTTGTGTAAGTAAAATATCCCGAGAAGAAACTTTTCTTAAACACTCTACCATAACGTGACTGTAGTCTGTTGAGCAATTAAGAAGTTTAGCAAACTTTTTAGAGAGAAATTTCCCTTCGTCTCTAGATCCAAACGTCCATTTAGCGTTGCCTATTCCGCTCTGGCATATAACGCCGTTAATTAAATCTGAAATGTTCTACATTCGATAATATATACAATTTCTGTGCATAGTCTTACCATTACTCAAAGGTGAGAGCATATGATAATACGCACTACCACCACCGACCGATTGACCAAATATTGTTATTTTGTTCGGGTTTCCTCCGAAATGGTGGATATGCTTCTTTACCCATTGGATGGATAAATTTTGATCTTTCAAGCCATTATTACCCGGCGACGCCTCGTCTCCCGTTGACAGAAAACCCAACGCACCTTCAACCAAAACTTCATCACCGTGACATTGATTATTCTTAGAAGCAATGTAGCAAAAATGCACAAATGGAATGGAATGGCCTTCCCTTATCAAAGCAAAACGCTCACAAGGCACCTATAGCCAAAGCAGTATAGCTAAACTTCTGGCTATAGTAAGTACTTCCATGAAAAATGACGTTGAGACACGAGCTATCATTTCAAATGTATCCGATGATGGTTGAATGGATTGTAAAATCTGTGATTTTTTTAATGAATCAAGTGTATTCGTAGTAGGTCAGTTACTTATGAGCTATATTGACAAAAAAATGCGCCATTATAAATTAAGTTTACCAAAAGCAGAATTTAATCTCAAACTTTGTAGTAGAAAAAATGTATTCATTTTTATTTGGCAAACGTCGTGAAAAACGTGTTTAAAGGATACTCGCTCTTTTCGCATGGGGAAATTTCGGTGATTCAGGGAGTCGATATAGTAACTTTGCTATTTTACCCAGAAAAGAGGTATACAGAGTGGCCCAACGAGAAGTATACAGAGGGCTTTTAGGGTATTAAATTTAGAAATTTCGAAAAATCCTCGAACACGTCAATTTTGTATTCGAGGGGGACAACTTTTGGAATACAAATCATGAACCCAAGTCTTCACCCCTCTACGTAGGGAGCTTAACCCCTAATCTCCGAAACGAATCAATAGAATTTAAAAAGCAAAGCAGATTAGTAATCACGATTAAATTGGCTTTCAAATAATGTGCCATTTGCCATAGGATTCCATTTAAAATTTTAGGGGTTAAGCTCCCTACGTAGAGGGGTGAAGACTTGGGTTCGTGATTTGTATTCCAAAAGTTGTCCCCTTCGAATACAAAATTGACGTGTTCGAGGATTTTTCGAAATTTCTAAATTTAATACCCTAAAAGCCCTCTGTATACTTCTCGTTGGGCGACTCTGTATATTACGTACATGAACCAAAATCAAACGTTTGCGCTTTCATTAAGGGTTGATTTTTCTACATCCCGATTAATTGAATCAGCAGATAAGCAACTTGACAGCTATTAACAATGGTGTTCAAGAGGCTTATCTGGAGTTTAAAGAGCTTTAACCAACTCAGAGTGATTTGAGTAAGTAAGTAATCCAAATAAGTCAAGCTTAGACTCAAGAAATGAGTAGTCGAAAGCATACAGAATTGTAAAGAACATTCCTTTGAGCATAAAGGAGCTCGATTTTGTGAGAAAATTATTTATTAATTATTAATTATTATTTATCACTCACAATGTATAACATAGACTTCTGCATCGACGTAGGAACTCGCTAGCAAACGCCGTTCAATTCGCTTATATAGCAAATGAGAAGTTTGTACAAGTTTCTGAGACGTTCTCGAGAATTCTGAATGCTTTCGGAATCGGCTCTATCGCATTTCTTGGAAAGAACGTGTACCTTATCGCCGATGACTAAGACTACCTGGATTTCTAGAATATTCGCCACAGTACTACTTTAAAACCCTTTTTCTAGGTTAGATCATTGAATAAAAATTGTTTTTATTCAATGGTTAGATTAATTCCTACGTAAATTTATCCGAGACAGTTTAATCTTATGAGAGAACTCTAAATCAATGAAAAAGCTCTTTGAGACCCGACTCATAAGCGCTCTTAAAGGTGATTAAAAGCCCTTATGGGACTTAATGACCCATAATAAATTGCTGCTAAATGGATACCAACGCTGAGAGCTAAAAATATTCTACAAGCCTCCTGGAGACTGTTGACAACTTTAGGAGACTCAAATATTAGTAGTTACCATTAAAGTTTCCAAGAACGCTATGATTTTTAAAAGCTCTTAAAAGCCTTTAGTAACCCACACAGCCCTTTAAGAACCCACAATGCTCCAAGGGCTCTGCAGGACAGGTATTTTACACAACCTCAAGGCGTAAAGTCATTTTATGGGCTTGGAAGATTTTGAAATCACTTTGAAAGTGTTGGTGGCCCTTAAACGATCTTAATAACTCCGAAAGATCGATGGATCTAACTCTAAAGGCGAATACACTTTTTTTAAAATCTCATAGAGATGATGAGGCTTTAAGGACCAAATCTAGAATCTCGAGACCTTTACGTCTTTACACCCACCGATTAATACAAATCTTAAACGGATCAAATTGCATTTATACACACGGTGCGCCTGAATTTTTGTACAATCCGATTGAAATATGTGCAAGAATTTTAGGAATTTTGAGAGAACGAGGAAGTATAGCGACAGTCTTTAAGACAAGATCACAGTATACTGCTAACTATGTCGTTATAGAAGTTATATGCGTACCTTAAAGAAAAGGGGTGATAGAAGATCTTAAATGAAATCGATTTGGCTACATTCTTGTGACAAAATTTGGAGGAGTCTTTAAAAATTAATTAGACTGAGCCAAAATAAGAACGTGGTAGTAGTCTTAGAGATATTGGGCACGGCGGTTTCATAGAAACTAAATTAAAAATAGAGAGAAGTTCGTAATTTCAATACTGAACAGATGTTCCTGTGGGTTACATAAATACTGCTCTACAGCTACAAGAAAATGTAATTGCTTCCGTTGTAACCAAATCACAGCAAATTGCGGAAGAGGGTTGGGGAAGTATTTTATTGTTTACGACCAGCAATAACAAAGCACCAGGAGGAAGGCGAATGAAAAGCAACCGATAACCTAATGGCTGATGTTTAGAAATGAGAAGATGTTCTTGCTTAAGAATATACAAACCTAGCCTGTAACTGACAGTGACCAATACAATATTCTTCTCTAAAAATGCGTGGGGTTTAAGCGTGGTTGCGGCACCCAAACGAAAGCTCCCGCCGTGAAAGAATACCATTACTGGTAAATTATTGGTTTCGTTTCTTTCCACCTGAAAAATTATCCCCAAATCTTATTAGAAAGTAGCTGCCCTTCAATAATTATTTTGGTTAGATGGACTTGTTAATCTTTCGCTTTTTGCTATATACTGAGCAGGTTAGAATCAGCTTTACTCACAACCTGCAAGTGCGTTCCTTGTGTTTTTGTTGCATGTGCCTGGATTTTGTTGACCACACTATGAAAACAATAAATTACTGAAAGTCAGTTATATACCTTTGGTGTAAAGACGTTCAAGTATAGACAATCTTCTTCACCGGTAAGGGTAGAACTTGTGAATAGCTTTATCTGCGGGCATAAAGGCGTTTCGAGCTTCGCGTTGAGGGTCCCTTTCCATGGTAGTGCGGGTCGAGGTGCCTTTTTACAAAATTCTTAGATCAATATTACAGGCGGATACTTACTGCGAATCTCAATTTGTTTAAGGGTGGCTCGGCGTATGGAATTTTGGTGAACGAGGAGAACGTACGCGTTAGCCCATTTACGTATTGCCCCTCTAGTACCCCTGTATCAATTTCAACCTTGAGATCCATTGCAACTACTACAGCAGTTATGTACACCCAAAAGTATAACCCGTAATTAATCATATTATCGTCACGAGACAAGCTGCACAAACACCAATGTTACGAGTAAGTGTTCTTATCACATAAACCTCGCCAATTCTAAAAACCACATTATTTGGTAATAATCAGAGCCCGGAAGTATTCACGTTAGGAAGTTGATTAAAAATGGGTTTTTATAATTCAAACCAATGCAATCAGCAGTTGTAATTGCGGTAACCCTAAGCTTCTTCTAGAAAATCAAGTAGGGTGATTCAATAATTAATGCACGAGTTTTTGGACGAAGGAATTTCTTTGCTAGAACATGAACCAACTGCGATCTGTCGGATTTTGTCAGAAACAAAGATGAAGAATTTAATTGTGAGACAAAATTAGTACCTATATTAAGATACAAGTGTATAATCAAGTCTTTAAAGCACGCGCAACGAGTTTAATGGCACGACGCAAAGCGGAGTGCCTTTAACGTTGCAAGTGCTTTAAAGACCAATTATACACGTGTATCTTATAGTATTTTTTATTATACCTGCAGTATAATTTAAAAATAGGAAATACAATGAAATCATATTGACGTTATACTCGAATACATGTCTAATTAATTGGGCTGGGTGTTCGTAATTTAATGATTGCCATGGAAATGTCACTTGACGTTTGCTTATAAAACTCATCGTCTTTGTGAATAAAACGGTTTCCGTTGAAAATGATGATACACCGTCCATTAAATCGCTTGTTGTGAAATCTAAACAAACGTTGGTAGGTGTAAAATCCAAATCTAGTAAAGCCTATTATAAGGAATATGAAAAGTTGTTTCCATGGATGAATAGGAAGTTACTTACGAATAAAGTCTTAAATGCATCGATAACGCTGGCATATATGAAGGAAATGTCCAAGGTATTTAAATCTTCTATCTTTTGGTGCATTCATTCAAAACTTCACTTATTGCTGGGACTAAAAAGTGGAACAGATTTGGAAGCATACCCTAAATTACGCGCGTTTGTAAAAGCTTCAACCAAAGGATAGGTACAAGCCAAAGAAATGTTCTGCATTTACAGAAAGCGACCTAAGAGGATTTTCTATTTCACCCAGATGACAGTTTCAAAAGTCATACTTGAAGTATCGTTACTTAGCAACTTTAAATCACGTGTGTTTTAAAGGCCTTTTTTCGCACGCATTTGAGTGTTTAAAACGGAGATTGTGATTCAGGTATAATAAAATAGTTATTTATATAACAAGAGCGCGAAGGTCAATTTCGCGCATTGAGACTGAAGGTATTTTGACGAGGCGAAGCCGAGTCAAAATATCAGTCAAATGCGCGAAATAACTTCGCGCTAGCGTTATATACAATATTTTTTCTACAACTGAACCGATTGTTAATTAAATTTGCTGTTTAAGTTCAACTTTGTCACGTGCGCGAAATACTTTTTTTCACTGTTGACGATTTCGCGCACGTTATCAATAGCAACCTTACTTATTAATTAATTGTTTAAAAATCTAGTACTTCGCGTTTCGAAATCCGTCAGAAAATGACAGGTTTTTTTGACAGTTGTAGAAAAAATAATTTATATTATATCCTTGACACCGTGTAATGTCTATAAAACGCAGAGAATGGAAAGAATCATAACACTATTGTAATTACAACATAATCAACAAGCCTTCGCCAAGTGGATAAAGAACTTAATATATGTATCTTAAAAACTTGGATTTGCCAAATAATTTGTAATTTGTAGTTATTTCATGTCCAAAATTAGAATATAAGGGAAATTTCAACACGAAATTTGGACTAGCAACACGAAATTTCGACTTGCAACACGAAATTTTGACTTTCAACACCCAATTTCAACTTATTGCAATACGAAGTTTCGACTTGCAACACGAAATTTTCACTTGCAACACGAAATTTTGACTTGTAACACGAAATTTCGACTTGCAACAGGAAATTTTTACTTGCAGCACGAAACTCTATGGAATTTTTGTAACAGTGTTAGGGTTTTATATGTTGTGCTACTAACGGAAAAAATAAACCTTTTTACCACGCGCACGTTAATAAGGGAAGTATTGCATTGGGGTAAAAATGCAAATGAAAGAGGCAGAACCTTAGTAATTATTTACAATAAATACTTAACTAACGGTAATGGATACAAAATATCAATTCGTTTAAAAAAAGCTGTAGATTTGCAGTCTTGTCTTTTGTACAGCTGTAAAGTAACACGTTTCTTATTAATGCTTCGGAAGGCAGAGTAAACAACCCCAATCCTCTTTCTCTGGTGTTTGTTGATATTTTAAAGGAAACTGTTCGAAATGAATTGCCACAAACGGTGGGCAGGAGGTATAAATTTGGAACCAGGGTACGTTTACGTTACGCTCACTTTCGAAAAGTTTATTTTTAACTTTCTTTGAGCTAGGTAGCTATCGTTGGGCTATTTCGATCACCGTTTTTTGGACTCGACGATCTCGACGTTTTAGATCACTTTAAGGTTTACAAAAATATAATTTTTTCCGTCTGTATGTATGTACGTACGTTGGCAATTTTCCGAGATAACGGCTCGACGGATTTTGTTGAAATTTTGGGTATGCATTGCTCATGTTTATTTCAGAAATAAAAATTAAAGTAATATTATGAAATTTGATTCCTAAACGTAAGAGTCTGTGTAACACTTAATGAGAATTTTTGTATTCTGTCACTGAATTTGGCGTAGCAGAAACGGACATTCTTTATATTGCTTGTAAACATAATAAATTGGATTACTGCAAGCACTTGACGCCTTCACACCAATTTAAATACTTTAATAAGCTATTAGGCAATACATAATACATAATTTATAACCTAATTGTATCCAACTAACAAAAAATGGTTTAAATCCCGCGGCTGCTACTTTTAAATATTAATGCGAATCTTAATAGGAGATCAAGTTTTTTTTTGTAGCACATCGCCATTGCTACGCTTGTATTTACTTAGGATCGTTTTCAGTATGTATGGGTACTTTAAATCTTTATCTGATGGAACATAAGTGGAGGAATTTCGTTTGTTCCTGTAGGCAATCCGACATTAAATTGATGTGTGGTAAACATTGCGTGCATTTGCATTAAGAAAAAAAGTAAGTGCTTAATTTAAATGGCAGGTGTAGAAAAAGGAACGAATTTAGCAATAAGTGGGGTATCAACTTCGCGCTTTTGACTTTTATAATTAGAACAATTATAAAATACAATCATAAATTTAGATTACTGACCGTCTATTCCGTCTATTAACCTCCAAATATAGTGTCCAAGATAAGGATGTCTAAACATGGGGATCTCAGAAACTATAGAAGAAGATGCGAAGATGGTCAAATTAGGGAAAAATTGCGCAAATGAAGAGTAATTATCATGCTGCAAATAAAACCAAAAAATTCCGATTACTTCCGAAAAACTGTAAGAAAACCCCACGGAAAACCCGAAACTTGTCGATTTTGTTTTTATTTTCTTTCTGGAGTATTTGAATAGACATAAAGAAACACTTGATATGGAAAGTTGGAAACAGCTTTCAGCAGAATGGTGCACCCGTGCACATGGCCAATTCATACGAGAATACTTCAATCAACTGCACGGGGATACTATTACCGTTTGTAAATAGCACGGTAATGTTGTGTATGCTTACAAAAATCATAAGACTGCAAATATGCATTAGTTTTTTAATAATAGTACAATAAGATATCATTTGTGTTGGTATGGTAATAATATATTACATATTATACGTAATTGATTTAGGTGCTATTGATAGCCTGTGGTTTATTTTGACATTTAAATCACACCGTTCCGTTTTAATTTATTCTCGTAATGTAATTGTATTATTTTACCATTTTCACTGTCTTAAGTGTAATTAAAACGGTTGGTGATAAATTTTGCTCTAAATCAATTTAATTAACGACTTTTATATGGCACTCAATTGATTTATATTACATCGGTTAAATTAATATTATAATTTTTTATTTCAACACATTTTTATTGCACTAACATGAACGCGCTCAGTGGAAAAATGTATCAGTGGAAAATTCTTGCGGGGTATTTTGTAGTGGTGTCGGAAATCATTTCAATAATAGCGGACAGTGATATTATTTTTATACATTATAAATAACCTGGCAAGTGTAACGCATGGTATGATAATTTACAATAATTATAGCGGGTGTGGTTGGTAAATGTAGGTGGACATTAGACCGCACAAAAAAAACTCGTTTATTGCGGAAATTCTAACATTTTACGTGTAATATATAACTTTATTCGAGTCAATGTATGTTATTATTATGGGTTGCTGTCGGTAGGTGCAAAAAATACTAATAGTCATTGACCACTACGAAATGAAATGAAAGATAATAATTTGATTCCATTTGGAAGATTTGTAACCGCAAATCCGATCGTATTTCCTGACCACTTCGTAATTCTAACCTGAGTATAAGATATTCATTAAGAAATCGTGAAGAATGACGTCGGAATTTCGCACACGACAATTTAAACTGATGCAGATATCTGTACGTTTGTTTTCATTGAATGCGACCAGAACTCATAATATGCAGATTTTACGGTCCAGAGGACTGAATCCATAAACCTGGTGAATTGCACATTAACTCGTTTACGACATTATGCAATACGCGATTAATGATGCACTAATTACCTACACTGCTTTCATAAAAACATAAACGGCTTTATCATGATTTAAAGTTTCCCAATAATACATCTTCTACATGCCTTCAAAATGTGAAACTACATTTTCTCGCCCAAAGTGTATAATTGAAGACCCTGTGGATAAAAAGATATAGAAGTTTTTATAAATCCAAGCGCCCTATGTGATATTACACCCGTCTGTAGTTAGCACTCAGAATATGGTAGCCAAAATGCCGAAAACGAACTAACGACCAGTGGCGTGGTTTCCGTAAAAAACAAAATTAGATCCCTCCCTTAGGACCAATATAAAGCTATTGAAAAAGAACAGCATAAAACAATAAAAAATTGCGGCCACCTTTCGCAAAAAACACAAAATGCCAATTGAATTTAGCGTTAGTACCTTTAAAAAATTGACATTCACTTACTGCACGCCTCAAAGCACAGATTTAAACAGTATATATTTAAATCTGTGCTCAAAGGGTGAAATCTACACCCAAAAGTGTAAAAAAATTCTAGAAAAAAGATTTCAGATTCTAACATTTATTATGCTATTCGCATTGAAACAAAAGAAAAATTGGCAAACACTTACTGTCCGTCATGTGTAAGTGTAATCTACCCCCAAAGTATAAAAAATTCTTATGGTACTCTTATAAAAAAGGTTTCACATTCTAACATTTATTATACTTTTTGCATTGACACTAAGTGCCTTCAGAAAAATTGAAAACCACTTACTGGCCGTCTGACAGGGTGAAATCTACCCCCAAGGTCTAAAGTATAAAAAAATTCCTATAGTTCCTATTTTACTGGAGATACTTAATGTCATTGCGAATACCATAATAAATGTTAGAATGTGAAACCATTTTTCTAAGGGTGCTAAATAATTTTTTTTTACTTTGGGGGTATCTCCCTGTCAGACGGGCAGTAAGTGGTTGCCACTTTTTCAAGAGATACTTAGTGTCAATGCAAATAGTATAATAAATATTAGAATGTGAAACCTTTTTTGAAGGTTATTATATGATTTTTTCTGCTTTGGGGGTAGATTTCATCCTGCCAGACGGACAGTAATTGAATGCCCATTTTTCCGGAGATACTTAGAGTCAATGCGAATAGAATCTGAAACCTTTTTTCCAAGAGTGCCAGAGGTTACCTGTAGTTTAATTTGTCAATCTACAACAAAAACTAAGTTGCGTTTGAAGTGTAAAGGTAATCCTGTAAAATATTAGCGATTCAATTTCAAACAATTTAGAGCTAGAAAAAGATATGGCCACCTCGAAGTAAAATTTACCTATTCCAAATTTGTGACAGGTGGACGTTTAGTAAATGCATTCGATAGGAAGTAGTTCAATGTAACAAAAGGGGATGTATCCTTAAACTTCTGATTATATACAATTTGCCACTCCGGAGTTATTATTTTGCTGGACAGTAAAAAGGCAAAAAACCCTATTTGTAGTCAAATTTCAGCTCTCTTGTGTAAACCAGGAGGGTAAATAGTTAGCATTTGCGCATTTTTAACGATTTTTTTATGATACAGTTCTGATTGAAATTTCCCATTTAATAAAAAAAGCAAACGCAATAGCCAATCATTTATTTGCAAACGGAAGTACCGATGCAATTGATGTTTAAAACTTAATTAATAATAATAATAATAATAATAATAATTTATTGTCTCTGATCAACGTTATTGACATAGATATGGTCACAATGAAAGTTTGGTATAAAAAACACACATATACATAAAAATTACAAAAGAACAAAATATAAATAATATTATATCACATATTCTATCACATGTACATGTCAGTTGCCTTGTAAAAACATTGGTCCATTAGGTAGTTTTTAAGTGCAGCTTTAAATTTATTTTTATTTTTAATTTTTCTAATATCTGAAGGAAGTGCATTAAATGCCTTTACACAATTGTATAATGGACTTCTTTCATATTTGGCTGTAAAATGGACTGGGACGGTCAATACTTGAGAGTTTCGGGTGGAGTAAGTGTGATTGTCACCTAGTGGAAGAAAATAGTTCTCGTGTCTATTTGCATTTACAAACATACATAATTTGTAAATGTAAATACTCGGGAATGTCAGAATACGATTCTTGATGAAGGTATCTTTATGTGATGTTTTAGGCTTTACATCATAAATTAATCGTATCAGCCTTTTTTGTAACATAAAAACTCTATTTCTCTCCACCGCGGCACCCCACACCATGACATTGTATGATAGGTGCGGATATGCAAGGGCATAGTACACAGTCCGTAAAGCGTCTTTATCAACACATGATTTTAGCTTAAGTAATATATAATATGCTTGACTCAGTTTTTTGCAGACATGAGCAATGTGATGAGTTCATGATAGATCGTCGTCAATAAGGGTACCTAAAAACTTGGTATACAATTGAACAAATTTTGTGATTTGAACCTCGATTTGAACATTCTTAAAGAGCTCAACCTATTGGCAGTTAAAGCAGATTTGTCTTGCATGTATTTCTTTACCATTTATGCACCCACAAAAATTGACTTTCTTTAAAAGTAGGTTAAAAGGGTAGGAGGTAAAGCAAATTTACTGTTCTATATGAACCAATCAAATGCTGCTATAAGATCTCAAGCTTTAGCCGACTGCTAACGTTAATATAGCTGTAAGCAAAATAATTGAAGATAACGAAAAATGTGGATTCGTACTATACAGGAATCTCTTTTCTCAGTCGATTTTAATAGTGCTTTCTGTAGTTCACATATTAAGAAGCATACTGTTATAAATCTGTAGATTCTTGCTTTGCTGTAGATGGAAGAGACACGGGCTCACTATATTTACAAGCAATAATTTTACTGTAATCTCTCACATATGTACTTAATCACACTAATTTGGCTCTTGCTACATTTCACAAACCCTTTTTAGCGAGCACGTGGCTCTTATTCCACCGTATTGTTCCTTCGGCGTAGCGCAACGTTTGAAGTTGAGGAACCCATCTATTCACTTATGTATGGAAATTAATGCTACGCAACCAATGAATCGTGATTTATAGCACTAATTTGAGACATAAAAAATAGATCAGTTACGGAACGTAAAATAATTAAGGTAATAAATCAATAACCAGCTTACCTCCATTTTCCATCGATTACGTAAACTGGCGAACAAAAAATCGCACGGGATATGAGCTATTCTGTAACTTTTCGATCGGAATAATAATGAAATGGAAGTAAGTAAATAGTACTTAAGATAGATTATGCAAGAACTTTTAAGGTAAAACGTGCAGCGTTTGTTTCACAATGCATTTTCCGGATTCGTTTTTTCGAGCAGCCTATTATAACCTTGGGGAAGGTTATCCACTTGTCGCAATTGTGTTACGGTAGCACTTTTAATTTTTAATTTCCTGCTAGAATGACCATAACAGCCGGCAATTACTTATGCATGCAGCGTTTGGAGCAAAAACTCGATGAATCAGAATATTTTTTACCCGCATTCTTTTTGAACTGGATTAAGTATATTCCGTTATTTGCAGCGGCGTAACAAGAGTCTCATTAATTGAACTTTGGCGATTAAAGAATTTGCAAGAAAATCTATTAATCAAATTTATGGTATTAATCGTTAAGTTCATGATAAATGGACATTAAAAATCGGAATGCAATTAACAATATTTGATATTGTGAAAGTTATTGAAACGCACAGTGTGTGGTCTGATTTGTGTCTTATATGATATTTTTATTTATATGGCACATAAAATGCTTTATTGCATTTGTAACAGTAATTGTGGTGCTGACGGACCTTGTAGTGCTGCAACAAAAGTGGTCACTTGCACACCATTAGGTCCAAATTAAGAGATCATCTGCTAAAGTTCTTTGTAATGGAGAAGTTAATACTATCCCCACCGTGTTACCAGACTTTCGGTTAATTACCGAATTTCGAAAACAGTATATTCTATAATATCCGTGATGTGTCTTAAACTTACAACGAAAATTGGGTATGAAATACAAGCGCTGTTAAGGAAGTCTAAGAACTTTTGGCTTCTAAAATTACCTTACTCGTTATAGACAAATTTCATTATTTGTGGGATGTAAGTAGGTAGGTATACTCACTTTCATAATATTAAAAATATTCATTTATTTGTTTTCAGTAAAGCTAATCAATTTCTTGAACAGAAACTCTTGTTTAAAACAGTATTTGTTTTACTGGTTTATGTAACGTATAAATATCCCGTTTTTCTGAAATTCTTCAACTTCGTACTTAACATAATTTGTTTTTCTTCATTAAATCTTAAACACCAGTATAATCCTGTTTTAGTATCATAATATATATGGTTCCGACTCTCTTTAGTATTAATTTAGTTACTTTAGTATTAATTTATTTTTCACACTTATTCCCTCCGTGATATTTTAGTAGTTACAGCATTTATTAATATAAAATATTATATGTTTACTCGATAAAAATTTGTTTATGCAGAATTTGAGCATTTAATAATTCTTCCATTAATTTTAAAATAAAATTGGAGAGAAAAAATAATACGGCGCTAGTACATTGACAAAAGTTATCAAATGCATTAATAAAATGTATTAATGGCAGACGTTTGTGAATTAAACTTTTGTTTGCTGTAGCAATAGAAGCATTTATACTATTTTTCCAAATGTAACGTTCGTTATAAAATTGTATGACTTTTGTAAATTTAAATAGGCAGCTTTACGATCCATTACCCATGTTACCATTTAGGTAAACTGTAAAGGTTGTTGAAAATTCTATAAAATTATTGTTGTATTCATTTGTATTATTATGTAAAGAAACCCCTGAATTTGTGACCTGTCTTTTCAGACATCTTTTAAAATTTCAGAATAAGGGAACCAAATTCAGAGGTATTTCACAATTGATTTTGTCAACATAAAACAAAACTAGGTTGCGGTTAGAGTGTAAATGGGTAACAATCCTAATTCAAATTATAGAACGAATTAATATTAGACAAAGAGATGGCCACCTCTAATTTAAACAATCAGATCTATGCTAGGTAGAAATTTATCCTTAAATGTCCTCAATATTTTCCGTGTTTATTTTTATGAATATACTTCTACTAAAATTCATTGTTTCCGTTGATGTCATTGTGCTGGACAATACAAGTATCAAAGAACCACTTTTGCAGTAACAATTTCAGCTAGAGGAAATCCCTTAAGCAAACAAAAGTAAGACAGGTAACGTAAAAAAAGAACCAATTAAACTAATCGCCGGCATTAAGGTTATTATTACATTGTTTATGATACAGTTATCAGGTTGCAATTTTCACCTTAAGAAAAAGAAAGCTAATTTGTTAATCAATAAATTGCAGCAGGGTTTTAATATAAAGCTCCTGCGGCAACAGAAAAATATCCATCGTATATTAAATCTTGACACGGTAATCGTGCGGACTATAAATCAAGGTGACACCCTCCAGAAACTGAGAGGTCCACCAATGAAAAATATTTCAAAATCATTTGGAAAGCTGAAATCGATTTATTCGCCTCTTGCAAGAATAACAAATGTGAAAGGTGTGGATCTTGGTCGAAAGATCCAGCCTCAATTTCTGTTGATGCATTTACATTAGATTGCTTTAACATTTTTTCCCTTATAGGAAGAATTATAAACGAAAAGGCAGAAGGCATCGTAATAATATCAAATTAGAAGGAACTGCCTAGGTTTCTTATACTTTAAGATCTGAAAATACACCCGATGCATAAGATAATCAGGGAGGCAATGAGCATTCAAGGCACGCCCGCATACGCAATTACAACTGCTATTAACACTTGGACCATACGCACAGAAGAAGGGAGGTCACTCTGTTTCTACTATATGAACATTTTTAGTTTATTTATTTACTTCAAACTTTTGCTTTTTTACGATACCTACCGGAACTCGCGTTGTTATATTTTACGTTCCGAACACAAACTCTGGTCATGACGGTCGTCCAAAAATCGAATCTGGTTCAAATTTTATTAAGGACTAGTAGCAACGGCTTTCCAAACGCGAATTTTTTCCAAATTCTACCAGGAATCACGCGATAGTATTGACTTTCCTGCGATCAAGACCCGAATTCCGGGTAGCGCAGTTGAGTTGAACCTCGGCTACAGTACTAAGGGTCCCTGGTTCGAATCCAGGTTCGGGCATGGCTGTTTGTAAATGCATAGCGTGTTGGGTTGGTAGATCAACCTTGGCTGAAACCTCAGCCGCTCAAATATAAAATAATAAATTTGTCCGATTTGGTAAAAAAAATGAGAGTACAAAAAATTCCAAAGGTTGTTTGAATCTTCGGGTGCTTCAGACACTTTGAGGTGGGTTTGTTCTAATCCATTCCTTTCAAAATTCAAATCTTTTGATTTTTAGAATCTTACATTATGAGGGGTTTTTCAATTGGCGTGGGTAGGTTTTGGCTTGGTATACACAGCTTGATTTCAACATCTACTCGCTGTTACTGAAAAACCCTTTATTAAATTACAACTTGAGGTCATTCGTTTAGGTGCTTGGGGCTTTTTAAATTCCTACAATTTTTTGAAATTTACAGATTAGGATTCATTTGGGTTTTGACTTACGTTCTTCAATTTCTTGCGTTTTTTTCTTAAATTTTTATCTTTAGATTCGTATGATCCTCATAATTATTGTTCCGTTTCATTGAAACGTTTTGTTCAGTCTTCAGTTTCTTCGATCCCTTCCGGTCCTTCAGACCCTTCAAATTCCTTATTTACATCTTTTAATATTCCATGGATCCTTCCGATTCTTCATATTCTACAGATTTTCCACTCCACATTGCTTGTGTAATTCAAATTACTCAAATCCGTCAGATTCTTCCAATTATTCAGGTTCTTATAATTAAATTAAATTTTTATGATTCTTCTTACCCTTCCACTACCTCAAGCTCACGGGACCTTTAGATTCTTACGATTCTGTGGAGTGTTTCGTTTTCTCGAATCCTGTCGGTTTTCTAGATTCTTCGTGCTCTTTGTTTCTTTGAAATTCTTGGATTTTTCACATTTTTAATGTTCTTATAAATCTTCCAATTTTACAATCTTAGGAGTCTTCAGATTTATACGATCTTTCAAATTTTTGGCGTTCTCAGTTTTCCCTATTCCTCATTTGCTTCCGATCCTTTTCTTCGAATCCTATCGAGATATCTGAATTTTCCCATTCACATTCGATTCTAAAATTGTGCAGATTCTTTCGATTCTTCATACCTGAAATTTTTTTGTCATCCACCCTCAACAGAAAAATCGTACGCTCCAGGTGGCTAAGAGAAGATATGGGCGAGAGGAGGGGAATCTGTCATCTTCGAAAATTATTACCAAAATCCTAACGCATCAAATTCGTATCCAAGTGAGATGCGGTCTGGCGTTTCCTCAACAAAATTAGTAATTAAATGAAGCTTTTTAGTGACTTGAGTGTCTAATTTGTTATGTCAAAAGATATCATGAACGATTAATTACAACTACGAGTAATAGTTACTGTTACACAATTAAATAATTGCGAAAAATTAACAGGTTTGTGACTGCATGACCGGATTAGACCATTTCACTTCAAAGTTTATGGTAACTAGTTTCAGATATCACATAGGGTTCCTCTTCATGATCTACAACCACTTTATAGTTAATTTCAACTGGCATGCAAAATGAGTAACTGCTCCCAAATTGATTTATTACAAAATTTCTCGAGGCTACCAGAAATTCGATATGCATAAAGATTTTTTGCCTTCACTCTTAATTTGAAGTACGTACAAAGCATTAGCATATCGTTATCGTGCCTCAAAGTATATAAAAATTCTGTATAGTCACGAATTTTCTGACTATCAGAGCGCAACAAGGAACATGACAAGACATTAGATATAAATAGGAAATTAAAATTTAGCTGTAAACTTCTTGATCGTTCATAAAATGAATGAGCAATAATGATTAACTGATGTTGCCACACATGAAGCTGCCTTCTTTGTGAAATGGAGGAGATTCTTGCATTAGAAACAAACACGCTAATCATAGACCAAATTGCGATAATAACTATATTATGACTTTAAATTTATTGTCGTACACCAGCTTATTATATTAATTATAGCGGTAGCCCATTTAAAATGATTCACCTTTAAAATTAAAAGGTTAATTGCGAAATTTAGATCGGCCTTTTAAATTCGATGTAAAAAAGAAAACGTAATGCGAAATGTACAGTTAAAAGCCTCTTTGTTTTAAAAACGTGATTGCGGTTCACGGTTTATTACGAAAAAAAGAGATTTTTTGTGCTCGGACACAATGTTGGGTACTTCAGAAAGAAAAAAGAACGCATCCCGATGTTGCAAACTTGTAATTTGGTATTTTCTCTTCATTAAATTTGCAAAGAAATTTATCTGATATAAACGTGCGGAGATTCTTTTCTCATGGCTTCACTTATACTACCATAAAGTACGTATGAAAAATAATCTGTTGCAAGTATTACTTATAAAGATATTAGTTTTACTTGTTCAAATTCATTACGACTTGCGATTTGGGTTTAATTAGAAAGAAGGCGCGTTGTTTATACAAGCTTTTTACTGGCGGATGAGAATCACGAATGTGCTTAATTTTCACGAACATTATTACTTTTTTTTTGGGTATTAAAAGTGAATTACACCGATCTGCTTGTGCACTTGCGGTAGCCCCCTTATAATTAATCTCGGACAGTCTTAATGAGTACGAGAACTACCATCAATATCAAAGTGACGCGTTACCAGAAAACTGGATATTAAGCGTACGCAGGGCGCAATTAACTCTTACATCTGGCACGATTATACATTTCGAGCCAATCAAAATTTCTGACATGATCATGCTTGGTCGCCGACTTTTTACTGATAATTTTTTGTGCACTGTTTTAATTGTATTTATTAAGCAATGCAGCAGGTTTTTTTAAGTTAAGTAGTGATAGTAGGTATTCGTTATAATAGCTGTCTAATAAACAATGGTCAAAACTGAAAGCTATGTTACGCACCTTTCTATTTAGATATATCACTAGATAGTGAGATTGATAACATCTGCGTGCGTGTAAAATTAAAAGAAAACAATCAAAAATTATATAAGGTATTTGATTATTATGTCTATTGTTAGACTTAATTAAAATCATTTCATTGGCTCATATTATCTGCACTGCAAATATTATGGACAAATTTCTAATTGTTTTTAAATTAAAACTTGATTGATCCAAGGGAAGATCCTGAGAAATTCTAAAATTTGACCAACCTCGCATTGGGGTGGGGGGATTCACAACCAGCGAAGATGGTGGAAAGAAAAAACTGTCAGGTTTAATTGAAGAACGTGAACAATGATGGCAAAATAAAATAATTTTCAACACCTTTAAGGGCGTATGCCAACCCTTAATTGCCTTTATCCCCAGGCTCCGTTAACTTAGCACCACCATTTCAGATTTTGGACTAAAGACAGATTGCGCTAGAATCTCTATGGCTAGCGCCAGCTAGCGCCACTTTGAGTTCAGCTAGCGCCATTATAGATTTTGCAGAAAAGCCCTTGACTTTCGGGGGGTGCTATGTTAACGCTAGCACCACCATTGCGTCCGATCACTTCCAAAAGCAAGCGCTGTGTTCGTCAGACCTAGCGCCAGCTAGCGCCACAAATTTTAGAGCTAGCGCCACCCCCCAATAGTGAGGGGAGCAATTTTTCCTAGCACCACCATTTTGTCTTTTCATGTAAAATTTTGACGTTTTGTGTTCTGCTGACCTAGCGCCAGCTAGCGCCACTTTGAGTTCAGCTAGCGCCATTATAGATTTT